TATTATCATTTATATTTTTTTTAATGAAAATTTCTTCTATACGATTTTTATTTTAATTTCTTCATAAGCATTGCAGCAGCATACCTAGCCCTTCATTGGCCCCAATCGCACACAGCTACCGCTATTCCGACCTACATGTGTGTACGTGGGGTAATGCTTAAACAACAACAAAAAAATCAAGTTTTGCTTATCGTTGCTCGTCATATGGTCGAGTCAACACAACAATACACACGAAGCTGACGTCGCACAGCGTCGTGCGGCTACTTCGTGCGAGCCGAAGTTTGACGTTTCCACGTCGTATGCGGTATTGCATTGTTGTGTCAAAATTGTATAAAATAGTAGTAGGGCAACAAGTAGTCAACAAATCGTACTTCACGTTGATAACGATAGTAGTAGCTAATTTCAAATGTTTTATGAATGAAAAACTACTTTAAATGATCAAATCAAAATAGAAACGAACACTATATAGTTAAAGCCAGCTTGATTAATGCACATGTATAACTTCTTCACAAATATTTACCACTTGATGGCGAAATAACCCTTTTAATTTCGACTCAAAATATTATTAACACTTAAAAGAGCAACATGCATTTCTGTTCATTGGCATTACAATTATCTATGTATAATAAATATAATATTTCAACAACTTGTGCGCTTTCAAATGTCTACTACTAAATCAGAAATTGTTTGCGTGGCGCATTCAACCGACAAGTGAAAGCAAACCTAAAAAACGCGTGCGCTGGCAACACTGGTGCACTACAAATCAAATACGATATAAAAACGCAAATTAAACACCGAAAAACCAAAAAAGTTCATCACAAATTACACTTTTTGGCACTGTAATTTAGTACGTAAAGAAATATATACATATAGCTGTCTTTTGGTAATTCTACATACCTTGCGCTCTGGCTTTGCAATTTCTGGCAGTATACTGCAGAAGGGCTTGATAACTTCTAGGAATTTGACTGCAAATGGGTGAATGAAAACAATTAATTTGATTAGCTTTGCTTGCAATGTATTATTATGTTTTATAGCTCGCACTTTGCACAATTAGCTGCGGTGGTACATAAATTCTCAAAATTCATATTTTTTTTGTATACGTAAGCAAGTACGGGGGTGTTGCCGAAGCGGCCGCAGCTTATTGCCAAGGTTGAGCGGTATTTTTACGTAGGTTTTGCAGCTCAATTTATTGGCGTTGTACTTACTTCCCATTGTGTTTGACTTAATGTAACGTACGGCAGGGAACTAAACTTATGATTTGTATTTCCGCACTTTCTACACAAAATTTAGAAAGTTTCAGTTCTATTGGGGAAACTCCAACGGGCACAGCGACCGCTTCAACTGACGAAAACCGAATGAACGATGCTAAGGAAAACGAAAATAACCGAAGTAAGCACGACGTGTCATTTGCAATATAATATTGACGTTTCTTAACATTGGATTAGGGCTGTTAATATCGATATATCGATTACTCGATAATCATTTAAATTCGAAAGCGAACTTATGATTTTTAGTTCCTGATTAACAGTGTAGTTTTATTATTATTCTTATTCTTTTTATTATTAATCTTAATTTATGTTGTACTCCTCTACCTTAAGATTCCTTACTATTTTATATTTCGCTCAAATAACGCAAAAATGAGAAAGGAATGTAAATTAACAGCAGGTGTAGTAGCCTGTTACTGTTATGTAAAATTAATATATGTAAGATAGTCACCACAAACTGTTAAGTTAGGAGCGAAACTGCTAATTTTAGTGTTGCCATTCTTAACTGGAAATATGGCAACTTTATGTGACATAGAACTCTACAAAAAGCAAAGCAACCTAGCCTGCGAAAACAAATGCAAAGCAACAATACAAACGCAGGCGAAATCAAATTATAAGACACAGACGTAATATATACGTGAAAAACTAGCTGGCAACAATAACAGTTGCGTGTGTTAATCCAAATGTCAAGAAAAACTAGCAAAAAGCGACGGATCAAATAAAAATTGAGTGCTTAGTGTAAATTAGCTATGACTTCGGTTATATATGTGGAATTGAGCTCGGATTCGGAGGAGGAGGTAAAAGCGCCAGTGACAGCGCCAACAATGTTCAGCTGGTGTAGAAAAGTACAGTTGTATTTTTAATAGGTTTTGTGCATTGGTGTGCGCGTRTTAGTGTTGGCGTGCGTGCGTTTATATTTGTTTCATACATGTGAATGAGCATGTGTGTGTGAGTGTGTGTGTATTACAAATTATGTGTACGAATATCATTTTCGCGGTGCTTTTATTGTTGCCCGCACACATATGCATATGCACACATACACCAACAGCTCGACGCGCACACACATGCACAGATCCAATGCTGCCAATGTTGCCACCTTGGCTGCAGTAACTGCTGCACTTGAAGCTAGCAATTAGAAATGTTAATTGTTCTAACTGAAACCAGTTGCCATGCATGTGTGGGTGTATTTATGTGACATTATTGTATAGTTTGCGACGCAATTCACTTAAATGTGAGCTATGTTAACATTTTGTTTACATGAGCAGGCGAAATAAATGTAACTCTACACTCTATGGGTCGGCGCGCCTCAAAACTCTACACACATTGCCCCACTCACACAGCTGCAGCGGCGTATTTGTTTGTTTTGTTTTTAAATCGAATTTAAAATGCAATACCCAACAGGTCGTTTTTGTTTTCTTTTATTAATGTTCTCATCTCCGTTTCTCTACAGGGTCCACCCGATGTAAAGCGACCGCGTCGAGAGCTGACAAAGGTGTCTACTTCAAAAACCTTGCCAACGAAATTGTTGCACATACCAAAAGCTTCTATTGTCACGCCAGCCAGTGGAATTAAGGTCACGCCTACTGCAACGGCGGTGACAACGGCGACAGCAGCTGGAACCGTGGTCGGGACATACAGGTATCGAGCACTAGTAAAATCATTTAATAATATCTATGTACATATTCAGCAAGACATAAGTTTGAATCAATGCGCTTACTAAATATCGATAAGATATTGATTATTGTTCTGTTAAAATGTTATCGGTAACTGACAAAGCGCATCTTACAGGTCCATGCACATACCCAGCGGCATAACGGTAACCAAGCACAACAACAGCAATGGCAATTTCAACATGTCCACTGCCAAAATCACAGTCGAAACTAACAACAATAGCAACAATAATAATAACAATAATAATGTGAACTACAAACCATTTAAAGTGGCAAGTGGCACCTGGTCGAAGACAACAGCAGGCACCACCATGGCAACCATCACCAGCGTACCCAGTCCACAGACGCTGACCTCAAAGCCGGCGCAAAGATCCGGCACAGTCCAGCAAAATGCGACGATAAAACAAAAGTCAAACCCAACTGCTGCTTCACAAAAAACTACACAGCATCAACTACAACAACAGCAGCAGCAGCAGCAACAAAAACAACAACTACAGCAGCAGCAGCAGCAACAAAAACAACAGCAGCATATTCAGCAGCAGCAAAAACAACAGCACCAGCTTCAGCAGCAGCAGCAAAAACAACAGCAACAGCAACAGCTTCAGCAGCTGCAGCAGTCAAAGCAAAGGCCAGCAACGCCCATCAAACAACAACAGCAGCAGAAGCCAGCGATACCTGCATCACAAGTGCAACAAAAGCATGGTACGACACCAACATCCACTCAGCAACAGCAACAGAAGCAGGCGACGACAACATCAATGCAGCAGTTGCAGAAGCAGGCTGCATCGATGTTGAAACAGCAGCAACAGAAATCCGCAGCAATGTTGCAGGCGCAGCAACAGCAACTGCAGCAAAAGCCGTCCATTACGATGTCAGCAATGCAGATGCAGATGCAACAGCAACAAAAGGCATCTACACCAACTCTACCGACACAAAAGCCAATTTTGCTGCAACAGCGACTGCCGAAGCCTCCGCTGCAACAACAGCAGCAACCGCAACAGCAGCAGCAGCAGCAGCAGCAGGTGAAAGCACAGCCAGTAAACCAGCAAATAATGTTAACCAAAAAGCTGCCAGTTAAGCAGACGGCCAAGCAAACAGCGCCGCAACGTTTACCCACCTTGCAGAAGATGCCGCTTAACGTGACGTTGACGTCGCCCGCCACCCAACAGAAGCTGCCGCCGCCAGCCCACAGTGCTAACAGCAGCAGCACCACCAACAACAGCAGCAACCTGCTCCTGCAGAAACAGAAGATGCAGCAGCAGCAACAACAACAACAACAGCAGCAGCAACAGCAGCTGGTAGCACCGCCGCCTGCACATCATGCGACGAGTCAGCTGGCCAAGCTCACCCCAATGCCCATGTTGAGTAGACAGAATGTCGTGCTGCCAACGCCAACGTCGATTAATAGTGCAGCGCGCACACTACCCTACAAAATGAAGACGACAATAGCAACATCTACGGCTGTAGTGACAACAGCTGCAGCAACAGTGACAACAACAGCTCCAACTGCGGCAGCAACAGCTGCTGCCCTGCGCAACGTTCAACAGTTTACGCCCAGCAGCAATAGCATCACATCAGCTGGCGCCACGCCACCTTTACGTCTATTAGCCACGCCTCCGCATTGCGCGGCAGCCCTAAATGAGCCGCTGTTGCTCAATTTGCCACCCACGACTAGCATAACGCCACAGCTGACGCCGACAACAACGCCACCGCCAACAGCAACGTCAACAACAGCAACTGCAACATCTGCGGCTGCTGCTAAGATTACCTTTCCGGGTGCAAGCATTTCACCTGTCCCTAAGCCGGCGACGAAGCGCGTGCAGCCCATCACAGTGCTCAAGAAATCCGATGAGGAGTGGCGGCGGCACATAGCGCAACAGCAGCTCGAGCAGTGTCACAAGCCAAAAGAGCAGCCCATTGCCACGCCTACCATTGTGCTAGTCGAATCGCCGCCCACTACGCCACCAACCGAAAAGGTGGATAGCAGCAGCTCCGCTCCAGCTGCTTCAACAGCAACCTCAACTCCGGCTGCCGCTGCTGCTGCTCCAGCTACAACACGTCCGCCACTTGTGCCGGAATATGCGGCCTTGCTGCAGCTATGCCGTGAGCTGGACAAATCGCCGGATATGGAGCGATTGATTGACATAAAGCTGATGAAATACTATTACAGTGTCCACGAGAACTTTGTCCGTTCACGTGGCTTTCGCAAACAATTGGAACAGACCATGGAGCGCATGCGCAATGAGCCGGACATGATTTATGTGCATCTGAAATATGTGGTGGATGAGCTGAAGGTGAGACGTAAGGCCAAAGCCGTAGAGCTGCCACCTGACGAGCCGGAAGAGAAGCCAACACCAGCAGCAGCACCGGCAGCAACAGCAGCAGCAGCAGCTCCAGTGCCAGCGCCAACTGCAACTGAGATTAAAAGTGCACAGCCAGCTCCTGCTGCTCAAGCGGCTCCTGCTAGCACCGGCAACAAGCGCACCGATGAGCGCATTAGAAAATTGAATCGCACTCTGCATACCATTACGAAACGTATTAGCGCCTTGGAGGAGGCGGATGTTGATTGGAATGACGATGATGACTCCAGCTATCTGCAGGTGGAGCGCTACAAGAAGCGCGCCTGCCAGATCTATGAGAAAATCTGTGATTTAACCGGTGAAAGTAAGAGCGCCCATCGCCAGATGAAGCAGCCCATAGTATTTAAGGATACGCCATATCCACAATTTAACCGCACACTCTCCGCGTTCGTCAATCGCATGCACGAATTTCCCGATTATCATGATGTGCTCCAGCTGCTTGAGCACTGCAATAAGGATAAGAATCTGGGTTTGGCTACATTCGAAATGAAGCGCATAGGTAAGAGGAAGCTATTGTTGTTGGTATCCCTATAATTCATACCATATTTTGCAGCTCATGATGCCTTCGTTAAGGTGGGTCGCCTGCTGCAGGCGAGGCGCAAGACTGATCTCTATGAGACCGTGACTCATTTCACGGCCAATGCCAAGGATCCGGCTGCCTCGGATGCAACCCTGCTGGCTAAGCTGAATGAGAACAACAAAAAGCAAACCAAAATCAGTGACATTCTAGAAAAGTGGGTAACGTTTAAAATAACTCTCATTCCGTATCCCAACTAACCTGTAACGTGCCTTGCAGATTTGCTCGTGAGCAGGATCTCACCAGCGAGGAGCAGCGAGAGGCGAGACTAAAGGAAAAACAAGCTGCGGCAGCCGCTGCAGCTGCTGCAGCAGAAACATCGACAACAGCAGAAGCAGAAGCGGCAACAACATCAGCAGCAGCTGGAGAGGCAGATTCTAAGCATAAAGCTGTTTCAAATCTGGACGATGAGAAGCCCTGCACCAGCGCTCAGGCACAGGCGCAGGCAGCCCAACAAATCGACTTAACGAATGGCCTAGAAAGATGCGAGAGCGACAGTGACGAGGAGGACGAGGATGATGAGGACGATGATGAAACGGACGAGGATGTGGATGCCTTTGTTGATAATTTTAAAGCAAACGGCGATATAAGCGATGTTGAATCCGATACGGAGGCAAATGCAGCACCAAAGACATCTGCTGCTGCCGCAACGGCGGCTGCTCCTGTGATAGTTAGTAATGTAACGAGAGTCAAGACTACTGCTACTAATAATAATAATAATGCTGATGATAATGTTGATGAGAGTGCAGAGGCAGCAGAGGCTGCCAAGGCGTTGCCCAACGGCAAGCTGAAGGATACGCCTGCAGCCCAGATACTAAAGGTAATTTCCGTTTCTAGTCTAAATGCAACTGTATCTACAACCAGCAACAATAACAACAACAATAGTAAAAGCAACAACAAGAATATTAGCAGCGCAGAGCAGCCGTCGCAGCAGCAGGAGCAGCAGCAGAAAAACCAGCAGAGAGAAAAGCAACAGATCACAGAAATTATCATTTCGGATGAGGAGTCATAAATGTTCCTCGTCCTTCATTTCCCATCAGCAGCATGTTAGTTTATGTTTTCTTTAGTTAGAATTTATTTATTTATCTCATATTGCGCACAATTTGTTACACTTCCATATACGATATATTAATTGTTTTCAATTATATTTGTATTCTATGTATCATATATATATTTAAATTTAGTTTCCATTACTTATACACAGCACTTTGTGGATGCTGTTTAATAACTGTAACTTTTTTAGTGCGCAAAAAACGCTTAGATAGTGTATATATGAAATGCAACTACTACTATATTTAAGTGTATGTTTTAAAAAAACACTAATGGCATAAGAAATAAAATGAAAAAATCAAATTACCTTCATTTTTGTTCTGCACTGTTTTTCTTATGTTTGTCAACTAATTTGAAATTATTGCACTGTCTGCTCCTTGTTATCGAAACTATCGGCGTTTAGCTTGAAGCTTCCGCCTTGAGCGCTCCAAGCAGATAGCTAGTTATGGGTGAATTGTCGAGGACGGTTTCCTCGATAATATCGAAATGATCATACTTATCGAAAATCTTGAATGTAACTTTAAATCCAGCATCCTGCAAATTCTTGGCGAAAACGCGACTTTGCTCGATGAAGGTCACGCTCTCGTGTTCTGCAGCTATAACATGCGAGTGGACGCCAGACCAGAATGGACTATCAGCAGGCCAGGGCCATAAAATGGGCGACAGCTCCTTGGCACTGTCAGCATTCAGGCCAAAGATATTATTGGGATTCACGGGATCGAGTTGCCAAAGTTCGCGCAAATCATAAACACCGGATATAAAAAATAAGACGCCCACTTTCTGGCGGCGCTCCTCCGAAATCAATGATGGAACATGTAACAATTGAGCGAGGAGGTGTGCACCAGCCGAATGACCTGCAAAACTAATCTCTGTTGCTTTCGTTTCATCTGCATAGTTGAAAATCCATAGCAAAAAGTCGGTAAACTGCTGCAGTAGCTGCGCCAGTGTCACCTGGGGACAGTTATTGTAGTCCATGACGGCGACACGATAGCCACGACGCACCAGAGGCCCGACAATCGAACACGAATGCGATTTATCAAGCATCTGCCAATAGCCGCCATGGACATAAACAAAGAGAGGCGAAGGCTGCTCCGCCGTGCCGTCCTTATAGAAAACATCAACTAGTCGTCTATCATCCGTGCCGCCATAACGCAAATTGTGAACTTTGATGTCAGATTTGGTCGTCAGCTCTTGCGTGTCTGTTTTTGGATGATGATAAGAGATTATTCCGCTAAAACATATGTATGAGAAAGCTAGAGATTAGCTTTGCCTTACGCTGAGAGGTAACGCGCAGAAAGTGGTCTTGTACAGCCACATTGGGTTCCGGCTGATCTTGAAATCTAGCTGTGTTATAGCTAGGAAAGTATTCACGGATCAAATCGATGTTCTTCTCTTGTGGATTATACATGATTGTTAGACAAAGTTTGTCACTCGACTGAACTACAAGGTAAGTAACAAATACTTATTACATAGATGTACAATCAGCAAGACAAACCTGTTCTGTTTTGCAAATGTAAATCTCTGCGGTTTTGCTCAAAGCTATACCAGTTCAGAGAGCGGCGATATTTAATTTATTCTTGTTAGAGGTTTGAAAGAATTAAGTGCGCTTGTTGTACGTAGTAATATTAAAATCACTTCATTAGAATTATTAGTTTGAATCAGTTTTGTTGGCGCTATATATAATTATTCTGATCAGAAATTCCAAGGAAGGGGATTTGAAAAGAACAAGTTCCACTGGCCTTCCACTACATTTTAATTGAAACAGCTGGCAGCATTTTGCAACTAGGTGGCAGCACTGTAACTGAAAAGCCAACTCAGCTTCTAGTTTATAAATTTTATTTTGCGTTTGTGAGACAATTGAAATTATTTATTGAAAATGAGCAGAGCCCAACAACAAAACGATGAGGACGTCAACTCGGCGCTCTTCGATGCACGCAACGAGTATTATATCGGCAATTTCATGGGCTCCATCAACTTTGTGCTGCCCGAGCAGGGAACAGCAGGGGCCGAACTCTTGTCATACATGTATTTATCGTATTTGGCCATCGATTCGGGTCGCATCATTGCGTCGGACATCAAAGAGAATACCACGACACCGCTGCTGGCTCTGCGTTTCGTGCACGAGGCCTTTGAGCAACCTTCTCGCATTGAGGAGCTGCTCGAAAAGCTCACCGACAAAGTGGCCGGCGATGAGGATGAGACGAACATCTGGCACATTGCAACAGCTATCGTTTACTGTTACGATGGACAGTTCGAGAATGCCCTGAAGATATTGCATGGCTCCAACAATCTCGAATCGATGGCGTTATCTGTCCAGTGTCTGTTGCGCTTGCATCGAGTCGATCTGGCCAAACAGTTGGTGGCCAAAATGCAGGAGATCAGTGACGATGCAACACTCACACAGCTCGCACAGGCCTGGGTAGCCTTGGCTCAGGGCACGGAACAGATGCAGGATGCCTTTCACATCTACCAAGAGTTCTGTGAGAAGTTTAAGCCAACTCCAGCGCTGCTCAATGGCCAGGCAGTCGTCCACTTGGGCCTGGAACGTTACGAAGAGGCGGAAGCTGTGTTGCGTGAATCGCTGACCAAGAAGCATAACGATTACGACACATTGATCAATATGATGGTACTCTCCCATCTGACGGGCAAATCGACGGAGACGATAACTCGTTACTGGGAGCAGTTGCGTCAATTTTATCCGAAGAGCGATTTTATTGTGGATCTGGATAAGAAGTCCGCCGAGTTCGATCGTCTATGCCTGGAGTACGAGCCAAGCGGCGAGCAGCTGCTGGCAGTCTAAATGAAAACTGATTTCCCAATCCATATTACATTCACTTTTAAATCTTTATATGTATATGCTTTATATTACAATACAAATCTATTAGATATATATAGCTATGTTTATGTTTGTGGAGTAGTCTTCAGTTGGGATGAGGCGATCAATTGCTTTGTCAAAATAGTCGAACTTTATCCATACAATAATCATTCAACATTTTAATTTTTTTTGCGGTTGCAATTAATTTATCGCTCTCTTTGCTTCACATTTTTCTGCCATCCCCAGTCTTTAGTAACTGTGTATTGGGAAAAATATTTTAGTACATTTCGAATCGACTTTTTGACTTCACTTACTTTTGCTTGAATCCATATTTCTTACGCTCATAGAACAAATCTGTCTTTGAGCTGCCCAGATTAACGATCTTAGGACAGCCATCGCGCTGCAAATATTTTAAGTTTGTTGTTATTGACTAGAAAATTCATATTTATTCACAATATACTCACATCCTTCTCTTGAATGGTGCAGGATTTGCAGTAGTAGGCATCGGAGACCCCAGGGCCGCCACATATAACGCAGCGTCCCTGATACGACCCATAGTTACATTCATCACAGATTCGCACCAAGGTGCAAGGACGGACATAAGAGTCACAAATTACACATTTGCCATCGTCCTTTTCGCAAAGCCGGCCAATAGCTGCACGTGAAACAAACAAGCAAACAGCGCCAAATATATTTACTCACACCATAAAAAAAATAGCTAATTTCTGTGCTACATACCTACACCAGGCTGTTTTCGGCAGAAAATCAAATCGGGATGATGCTTAGCCATATTGAAATAGTTTTATTTTGATATATATTCAAGCTTAATAACAAATTTACGTTTAGTTTGGCAATGGCTTCTAGCAATGTTGCTCGCGGTGTGACCGAATGCTACAAATATGACATTAGTTATTTTTGCGGCACAGAAACATATACTGCTTTTATCAGCTAAAATACTAAAATGTTGATTTGGTCACACATCAGCAGCTGTTTGTATTATTTTCTGTATACAACTTTGAGAAAAGTGCATAAGGCAAAATGCAATTCGTTTAAATTGTGTGAATTTGTGTAATAATACATATTAAAATATTGTATAAAGTGCTAGAAAATGTCACAGGTGACATCGTCCACGACACAGAGTGCCGCTGCCATTCAAGCGGGCAGTAGGCGTTTGCAAAACAACGATGCAGGCGTTTGCGTGGGCGTCGGTGGTGTTGGCTATGGCGAAACTGAATGGGAGGCACGCGAGGTAAGATGACTTTAAAATAATGCAAATCATAAATATGTATAAATGTGGTTAACAGTCGCAGCGCCAGCGAGAGCTGCACGAAGCGCGCGCCAGAGCTGCACAGATGGAAAAGACAATGAAGTGGTGGTGAGTAGGAGCCACTTGGCAAAGCAACAGCTGCTACTTATTTAACTCATTAACATACTAAATCCTAACTTCACTGCAGGTCCGATTGCACTGCCAACTGGCGAGAGAAATGGAGTAAGGTAAAGTTACCATGGCACCAGCCGTTGAATCAATATGTTTGCAACTTGTTTAATCACACACAACACTTCAACCTAATAGGTTCGCAACGAGCGGAATAAAGCGCGCGAGGAGTCTAAGCAATTGAGTCTTAAACTGGACGCAGCGATGAAGGAGGCACACTCTTTAAAACGGGAGAAAAATGATCTGGAAGTGCAGATAACTCAGCTAAAGAAGGAGATGGAAAAGGTGCACACACTGATGATGAAACATGCTGGACAGTTTCATCGTGCGGACACCAATGAGGATGCAGAAGCAAATGGACGTGATGCAAACTGTTCGCCGGACATCTCATCCGATGGCCTAAAGAATGTCAATAGCGAAGACGGGCTGGTCACCAAACTGCCGAACGATGTCAAAGATTTGGATATTGAAGAGTTTGCATTAAAGGGCGCCATGCCCAAGCATTTGAGTGATTTGGATGAAGCTGAGGCCGTTGCAGAGGAAAAACGTCTAATACAGCAATTGTCCAAAGATGATTTTGATGAGGATTACTTGCTGCAAAAGATATCCATGTTGCAATTGCGATTGGATGAGGCACAAAAGACATTGCAAGCAGAGCGAGAGTATGCTCAACTAATACCTACAAGTAATTTATCAAAAATTTATTTATTTATATCTATTTCACAGTGAAAAGCATGAGCTGCACAAGAGCATAGAGAAACTGGCGCTGGAACTACAGGATGTGCGCGGCAGACAGGAGGAGTTACGCTCTGCCAAGCAGGAGGCAGTGCGAGAGCTACTCACACTGCAGGTAAACCAACTCAATATTTAATATATATAATGTACTAATGTCCAGCATGTATTCAGGAGCAACATCGTGCCGAGATGCGCATCGTTAACAACTCGCTGCAAGAAGAAATTGCAGCTCGCGAGAACCTGGAGCGTCGGTATGGACTCTCTCTTCATTGCTCTCCGTCTGCTGAATACCATACTAATTCCTAATCTCTTACAGTCTCAGCGAGCTGCGCACCGAGCTTGAGCATTTGCAGGCAGAGAATGCATCGGAGTGGGGCAAACGCGAACGTTTGGAGTCTGAAAAGTTAGCACTGGAGCGCGACAATAAGAAATTGCGAGCTGAACTGCGCGATTATCAGGAGCGTTCGGATCGCAAATGCCGCCCGATGCAGGCCAACGATGTGGAGCTACGCGCTCTGCAGCAAGAGCTCTCGGAACGTAATAAAGAAATTAGTGAAGTCAAAATGTCGCATGCAAAGTTGAAGAAGCTGCTGGCCGAGACCAATACGGAACTGGGTCATGCCGTGAGACGTGCCGAACAATACGAAGCGGAGGTGAGTTAAATTTAAATTAAGTTTGAGTATTCGCAATCTAAATTGTTTTAAATATGAGTGTGGACTTTTGAGCGATTCTGGGCGATTCAGCTTTCTCATCTGCATTGATTTTAGGTATTTTATATTAATATTTAATAGTTTAAAGTAGATCTTTATTATCTTCTGAAAATGCATCTTGATACCCGGAATTCTAAGTCATCCTTATATTCCCTTAGATCTCAATTTTAAAATAAGCATTCAGTTTTACTTTATTTATTATAAACTACAAAACATAGATAAATGCCAGAATCGATTTCGTTTACATATCAGAAATACCTTTAAGTCTAATTGGCAAACGCCGCTAAGCCGGTGATTGCACGTCCCAGGATCAGAGCATGAATATCGTGTGTTCCCTCATAGGTATTCACTGACTCCAGATTCATGACGTGCCTGATCACATGATACTCGTCGCTGATGCCATTTCCGCCCAACATATCTCGCATCTGGCGTGCGATCTCCAATGCTTTCCCCGCATTATTGCGCTTCAGCAGCGATATCATCTCAGGGGTGTGAAGTTTTTTGTCCTTGAGCCGGCCCACATGCAGGCAGGCTTGCAGGCCAAGTGCTATCTCTGTCGTCGCATCGGCCAGCTTTTTTTGGATCAGCTGATTGGCGGCCAAGGGTCGTCCGAATTGCTTGCGATCCAATGTATATTGACGGGCAATTTCCACACATGTTTCCGCTGCACCCAACGCACCCCACGCGATGCCATAGCGCGCATTGTTGAGGCAGTTGAATGGGCCGCTAAAGCCTAATGCGTTGGGCAGCAGCAGCTCCTCTGGCACACGCACATCGTCCATCAATATCATGCCCGTGGGTGAAGCACGCAGCGAAAATTTGCCTTCAATCTTAGGCGTGTCCAGACCCTTGCTCGTCAGTTGCCTATCGATAATGAAGCCCCTCAATTTGCTATCCTCGCACTTGGCCCACACAATGATGACGTCGGCTATGGGTGCACTGGTTATCCACGTCTTTGAGCCATTGAGTATATAGGTCTTGGTCTTGCTGTCATATTTGGCATTGGTTTCCATGCCAGCTGGATCGCTGCCATGATTCGGTTCGGTTAGACCAAACGCGCCTGAAAAATCATGCATGAAGAAGGTCAGTGGAATGGATTTTTATAAGTATTTGTCTTCTTAAAATCTTTAATATATATGTATATGTATATGTATTTTTATATACATTTATCATTTTGTAGAGCATTCAAATGACGCTGATGCCGATGATTTTTTCTTTTTTTTGAACATTGCTATTTTTCTTGCATTTGGTATTTTTCCGCTCTCACTAAACGCTCCAATACAAGCGCAGGTTCAATATTTTATGAGAGTACAAAGACGGAGAGAGAGAGAGAGAGCTTTCGGTAGTGCTTATGTTGTTTGCTGTCATTTGCTGACATTCAATTCCCTCACCAACTCCCTCTCCCAGCACAATCGCACAACTTGTTTGCTTCAGTTTGTTGTTAGGGACGCTCCTCTCTTTCTATCTTGCTAACACTTATTTTAATCTGCTTCTTATCAGTGCTGATAAACAAATCTTTAAAAGTTAATGCTAAAAATATCAAAAATAACTTAGCAGGTGATCAACATGAACATCGTGTAGAGATGAATTGTGAACTAAATGTTGTTTTGCTCACCAATCAGCTTTCCTTGCGCCAGGCCGGGCAAATATTTTTGCTTCTGCTCATCGGAACCATAATCATATATGGCGCCCATGGCCAGAGAACTTTGCACGCTCACCGCAGAACGATAGGCGGAATCAATGCGTTCCACTTCGCGTGTGAGTAGTCCATATGCAACACTGGAGACGCCGGCGCAGCCATAGCCCTGCAGGGTGCAGCCCAATACGCCCAGACTGCCAATCTCTTCCATGATCTTCTTATCGAATTGTTCCAATCGATTGGCCAGCTTAACGCGCGGCAAAAGCTCCGCTTGGCAATAGCTGCGGAAGGCATCCCGAATGGACACCTCCTCCTCCGTTAGCTGACTTTCCAAGTTCAATGGATCTTGCCAATTGAATTTTGCTGCACTCGCTTTACTGCTGGCCAGGCGGCGCGTCACAACGCATGGACGTAGTTTAGTGATTATACTTTGCGCAATCATTCTTCTTATTTGTTATTTTCTTTGCGTTTTTAGCTTTATTATGAAATTCTGTCAGTCAGCTGCTCCAGCTCTCCCACTCGCTCAACTGTCGTGCTTGACTCGTGACGAGAGACTGAGCAGAAAAGCTTTGTGCTGCATAAAAGCTTTCCATTGACGGTTGCTATCGCTCTGCCCTCTCGCTCTCGCTCTCGCTCTCACATCTACATATATAGTTGTTCGCATAGTTTCTCCGTGGGGGTTCTAATCGCATTCGCCTTATCTGAAGAAATTGATTTAAGAGTGCTGATAATCAATGAAATGAAGAGTTTGCCGATTAATAGCTTATTGAGTTAATTGTTATTATTGATTTTCAGTGTTTTTTTGTTTTATTTAATTTAGGGTTTGTATTTCTTCTGTTTCCGCCTTGAAGTCTTTCATGCTTAGTTGAACGATCACACAGCTCACTCCACTGTTCTGTACTGCACTACTGACCCTGGGTGACTGAAGAAATCCTACAATTTCTACCCTTTATATAGGGCTACTTTCACTCAAAGACCAAGTCGCGCTCAAATATTGAGTCCAATGCAAAACTCAATAAGAACACTCTCTGCAGCTTCGTATTACTCAAATATAAATACGAAAGGAGTACTGATGCACACATATGGGCAACTCATTTGATCTTCTGTAGTTCTTCTTCGCTTACATACATTAAAATATCACTGTATAAAGTTGCCCTTGATTAAATATTTTATTGTTCGTCTTTAGGTAAAACGCTTGCGTCAGCGTGTGGAGGAGCTGAAACGTGAGCTGGCCGGCGCTGAGGACGAGCTGGACTCGGCCGTAAATCAGGTGCGACGCCTGCAGCGCAGCAATGACGAGCTGGTGGGTCAGACAGAGGGGCTGCAGGTGCAAATACAGCATTTGCAAAACAGGTGAATAGGGAATCTATTATTATGAACTACTATTTCAATCCAAATCCAACTCTAACTAATTACCCCAACTAACATGTTTCATGGTGCTGGCTATAAAAACTAAAACTTAACAAACCCAAAAAAACAAAATGAAACAAAAACAAATCTGAAGACGCGCACCAAGTCCACAGTTGCGTGGCATTGGCGGCGTTCAGCTGCGCAACAAAATTGCCGTTGAGCTGCCCAGCGAGTGTTTGCCGAACATCAATGATCTGCGCCAGATCTTCGATGATGGCCAGGCGGGTTTGCGCAGCTCGCACAATGGCTGCGATTCGGCGGCAGTGCATCATGCGGCTGCCGCAAAGCGTTCCAGCCATACAGAGCGCACGCTCCTGCAGCAACAGCAAAGCAATGCGGCGGCAGCAGCTGCTGCAGCTGCAGCAACTGGTTATTACGATGCGAAGACATCGCATTTCGAGGATAACATTTTCGAGTCGAAGTCACGCAATTTGGAATTTGAGCGTGCCAAGCAAAAGTTTGATAATCCACATGGACAGCAACAACAGCAGCAGCATCAGCTGCATCAGCAGCATTTGCAACAACAACAGCAGCAGCAGCAGCGTCAGCGCAGCTCATCTGCTCGCTATAATAGCAACACGAGCAGCAGCAACGGAGGCAATCGAGCCAATCTGGCTTTGCCTCTGAAATGCATGACAAACACATCCCAAAAGGATGTCGATGCGAATAGACAGCAGTATGAGTCGCAGGATAAGGAGCAAACCCATGCGGGCTATGCGCGCAATAGTATTAATTTAGATGGTCTCAAGGTATCCGACGATGAGGTGAGACGCAAAACTCCAGCATGCAACTAACTTTTGGTTTTTGGTTATTTTTATTTTCTTTATAAAACTTATTATATATATAATGTTGTATGATATATGGTTAATCGCAAATTTTCTTTTTGCAGACTCCGTAGCTATGGCTCGACAAGTTTGCTGCTGGACGATGAAACTGAGGGAAATAGCGATTGATACTTAATTTTTTATATATATATATTAAGCATATATATAATATTTTACATTAACCATTACTTTAAGTCTTTCAACATTGATCTTAGGCTATGACTTGCTGTCCACTATTTGTTTTTAGAGTGTTCCTTGTTTGTTTATGTATATTTAATTATTGGTTCTCATGAACAAACTTATTTTATTTGAATACCCCTTTCCTGACAGCCAAGCAAATTTTTGCACATATCTATATTTTATGCCAGTTCTAGTGAGTTATTAACCAATTTATGATTTGGGTACTGTCAAACTCTTTGTTTTGTCAATCAATAGATTAACTAAATGTTTATCGTTCATAGAGTTAGTATTCTGAAAGAGTTTTTATATAGCAGATTAGTATATTAACTGAGCTGTTCTATTTAAGCCTAGGGAACAAGTCAACAGAACGTATTATATATATACATATACAGATATACACATTCGAATCTTGAGCTTCAGAGACATTTCGCTGAATACATATTCCATTTAATCTATAAATCCCATAAAATTTATATGGCCATGTCAAGATCTCCTAATACCCAATTGCCTTGTGCTTTTATTACACAAGTTAACACTGCACTGATTAAATAATACCCCTCAAATGACTTAGCAGATATATTTATAATCATATATTTAATATAGTTGCATATATACAGGAGAAGAATATATAGAATTATTCTATAATATATTATTATTCTTGTAGAGAGTTTTAAATTATCCTAAATGATTTGCTTATATCAATATTATATATGTAGATGTATAGAATGAATAAATGATAGATTCATCTTTATCTTCTCAGTGGTAGAGTTGGGATCTTGGGTGGAAAGGTCTTAGGAATACGGAATGTATACCAATATGTAACGAAAATAAAACGTCGACTATACGAAACCAGCTAAAATTATTGGAATCGATAGCTACAATCAAATATTGGGCTTCAGCAGCATTTAGCTAAATATATATTCCATTTAATATACTCCAAAAATGATCTAATCCCCACTAACTAAATTCCCCTCAAATATAGAAGATATACCAATACATATACATGCATATATATGAATATTCGATGTTATAGAAGACTAGCAAAATACAAAATATATAATTTTGTCCAGAAATATTTAAAATTTCCCTCTTATATATGTGCAACTATATTTATAGATATATAAAATACAGGTTACAATTTTTATTGATATATACGATATACATACATATATGTAGTGCCAGAAAAGAACATGCAAATTATATAAACAATTTTGATATGTTATATCTCCTAGAATTGCGGGCTTTTGCTTTATTTTATTTATTTAACAAAAATCGAAACTCTAAATCTTCAAATACGTAAATTTGTGCCTCTTTACGAAAAAATCGTTGCAATCTTTTGGCCATTTTCTAGTCCTTGTTTCTATTGTCAAACGCAAAAGCTCGCAATTGGAAAATATTGAAATCGATTTGTCGAATTATTTAATATATGTATATCTAATATTTAAGAAGTAATTAATATAAAAGTATTTACGTATTTTAAACTAAAGTAATATTTTTATTTTATAAATTA